AAATAAATAAATAAATAAATAAAAATAAAAAATAAAAAAAAAAACAAAGTTGAACCATATGTGCAGTCAGACACTACAGTCTACTGTGCTATTCGTATACTTACTAAGTGATTCAACTTCCTTATCTAATAGAAGATGTTCGCTAGAAACTGTCAACCTCACTTCTTGAAGTTGAATTTTTTTCTGGATATTTCGTTTTCTATTTAAGGCTGAATTTATCCTGTTGTTGCTATAACCATATTATCTCATTTTATCTTCTCTTCATTTTGGATTTCTTGACATGTTTTGTTAAAGCATAATAAATTACTTCTTGTATGCCACTGTTTCTGAGTCCTTTAATGTATTCTATGACTTCTTTTGAGGAGTATCCTGTCTTCAATATGCTCACTAGGCTATATTTTTTATTGGTATTTACATATCTTTTCTCACTTCCCTTTTGCAATTATTAAAGCTTCCCTGCAGCATCGCTTCTGTGATTCTAGAATTGGCTGGTTATATGGAAGTATAAACACTATGGATTATATGATGCCAATGTATTGAATTTATAAGGTAGATTGTAGAAAAACTTGGAGGTATGCAGTAAAGCATTGGCTTATCCAAGATTTATATTTCCTTTTGTCCTTTTCAAACCTCTTTTAATGATAACTTTATATGTGCACAATGTATATTTGAGTTATGCTACCTAAGGTTTATTCAGTAATCTTTCTTGGTATGTATTTATCCAGGTATTTTATAGGGTTTTTAGATAATGTGGTAAGAAATGGTTTACCTGCCATATGTTCTGTAACATATATGTACCTATGGATTCATATTAATTTATACATATAGTTTTTTTAAAAAAATGTTTGATCTGAGTATTCTACCAGGGTGCAGCTCAAGTGTTTTACCAGAGAAGTATATACACAACTAGATAACCCACTACTGTTGTGGACTACTGGACTATATTGCAATATTTTGCTTAATTCATGTTTACAATATTTGGATGGCAATGGAATACCATCTCTGACAAAAAAAAACATAAAAAGATTATATAAATGGACTGTATATATATGTATATATATACATACATATACATATATATGTATATATATGTATCTGTATATACAAAATTGTTAGGATAGATATATAGCCACTTTTAATTAATAAGCAAAAAGATTTGTACAAATTGTATTTGGGGTTTTTTTTTGGCAGAACTGGGGATTGAACACAGACCCTTGTATTTTCCAGGGAAGTGCTTATTCCACTGAGCCATTTCCCCAGCCCTCTACTAATAGTATTTGGACAGGATATAATGTCTGCATCTTGAGCCATGCATGACTACTATAAAGACAACCATATGCAATGTATCAATTTTTGTAACTCTACCAACCTGTTTTGAAACTGTCTCATTGAAATATTTTTCTCAATAAACTAAATAAAAAATGATGTACAAATGTATAAGAAATTACAAGATTGGCTGTGGGCAGTCAGCCATAGAGTAGGAGCAAGCATGTAGACAGTGTCTGCACAATGGACACTAGAAAACTCTGTCCATGGTCTAGAGCTCACAGCACCATGCAATTCCATATCAGAAGACCAATGTGTCCATGACAGAAGGCCTGTGGTTCTATAAGGGAAGGCTGGAGAATGCAAGGAAGACGTCTGAAAGTCTGCCCTAGCAGCAGGAGATGACACCGAAGATGAAGGTGAAGAATGGAGCTCCTCCAAAGAAAAAGAAACGTCTGTCTTTCCTCATGTTGCTCTGATATACATTAAGTGATGAGCCACCTTAGTGTGTAGAATGCTGAGCTAATTGAGATAAGCTCTGAAACGTTTGAAGTTGACACAGTTGATCAAAAGCACAACAGACGTCTGTCTCAAATGAATATTAAATAACTAGATGTATGTAGCTCACGATGTTCCCACACCCAGTTGACATCTGAGTCATTATGTACCCTTTGCCCTTTGGTATATATATGCCAATACATATATAT